GGAAAATTATCCCAACAAATTTGATATCAAAAATAATTATTATGCTCTACTTTTAAAATCTGCAAAATTGTTTGTAAATTTGCAAAATTTAATTTTTTTTGGCAAAATCCAGTTTCAATGTAAAAATATACATTTTTCTAATTCACTCTTGACCATGTCATTTCAAATATGCAAAAAATTTAGCAAAATCTTAAATAACTTGAATAACTTAAATAACTTGATGGGAAAATTTAGAAATTCGAAAACGACGCTCATGTCACTTCAAGAAAACTAACAATGTGCACATTTTTTTGACGGGTTGTATTATTGTATATGAAAGAAATAACTAAAAAGCAAACACTTGTAAATATAATATTCGTCGAGTCGGTTTTTCTTACAATTTATTTTTTACAAAGATACAAAAAATAAACGATTGATACTATACTACTAAGATATTATGAATTGAAGCAGTTTCAGAGTGATGGGGAATCTTCAAGGGAACCTCAGTTTAAGGGAGCTGACGATCAACTGATTCTTTTCCCTTCATTTCGCTCCACCCTGGGCTCTCATTTAACCCTAGTTCCCCGGGCGTTGGCCGGCTAGCCCCACCAGCCCCCGTGTTTCTGGAATAACGGAACTTTCAGCTTGGCTTGGGTTATTTATAGGAATCGCATGCAAACTCAAATAAATCCGTTAGAATTCAAGATAGTATTCAAAAGTCCAACCGAACGGTATAAAGGGGGGGGGGGGTTATGCCCCTAGCCAGCTATAATCTGAGCGATCTAAAAAGATCCTTGAATCGCTGATCGTAAAAGATCAACAAAATCACCCATTGTTACAGTATGCAAATAAATTGCCAAATTTTCCTTGCAAAACAAGTGCTATCCGTTTCTTTATTTCATTGTCTTTCCAAACAGCTACAAATTATCAAAATCTGACAACTGAAAGTGGGTCAAAACAAAGATTTAGTTTGTTACAGGAAAAAGTAGTCATTCAGGTAGTGTGCCTGAGGACTCAGGCAGTTAGTGTAAAATCCCAGTTTCATATTGGTATTTAGGAAAAGTCAGAAAATTGTAATAGCCTCAGACCAACACTTTTTGAGTTATGTGTAAAAAAAACTAAAGAGGGGGCATATTCCCCCCCCCCCCAGGCAGGAATGGGGCTAAGACGAAGTGTTGTTTAAAGCGTTTTGTAACAAATGTATGGAATTTTTCAAATTTTTGTAAGCAGGTTTACTTTGTGTTCAATTATTTCTTTTTAAATCCTTGAAAATCTGAAATTTTTGAAAATCAAAATTCTAACAGCTAGTGGTGTGTATTAAGTTGCAGATTCGTTGTTTGCCTTTTTTTACTATAATTGCACTTATTTGAAAAATTCAAGTTTTATGACAAATCAGAATATTAAAACAACCGCCTCCTACAGAACGTTGTAATGTAAAATTCCCTTGACTTCTTTGCATATAGTAGTTGTGCATAATCAGTAAGCATACAATTGATTAAATAATGTCAACAAAAAATAAAAGTACAGAACAGTTTACATATAATTGTTTTCACTCTGTTCAAGCAAATACTAACTCAGCCTTGGTGTTAATGTCTTAATGTTAATTTAAAGATAAAACTAAATAATTGAGAAGCTCATGTTTTTTTCGGGGGGTGGGGGGGGGGTGGGAGGAATATCAAAAATTTAGTTAATTGCATTTAATTGTTCTATAGAATTTTTAAAGCTGTTCATCATGGCGATTTAAGTCTCGTAGTGAGCGTGGGTAATACATAAAATGATATACCACCCCAAACAAAAACAATAATAAGGTCGCTTTTGGTAAGCATGATGGAGGTGCAATGCATGGTCAATGATCATTGCTCATAGCCCAATTTCTTAAGGTCAGCTCATTTGAATTGCTATTTTTCGACAAATGTTAAAGTTATAAATCTGTTGCTAATTTTCTAAAAAAAGTTATTGTGTAATTTTTGTTTTATTTTTGATTTGAATTGAATTATTTACCAATTTATTTAGTTGCATCATTTCAACTATTTGGAAAATTTCAGAAACATTGTTTTTCAATTGAATAATATAAAGTAATCTAGAAAATGAATTATGAATGAAAGTAAATAAAGAAAATACTCAAGGACAAAAAATGTGTAAACATGAATTTATTAAATTCGTATATTTAAAAAAATATGTTAAAAAATATTTATCCAAAAATAATTTGAACAAAAAATCTGGGATTTTTGCATATTTAAATGTTTTTTTTGCTCCCTTACATTTCCTGGCGTTATCTTAAATGCTTTATTAGCATTGAGAAGAATCCGTCAAGCACACAATTTAATTTGTTCTAATCTACAGTTGACGAATTTTCTTCTCGAATCTGTAGGATTTACTCATTTTCAACGCAGTTAGTGGGGACCTTATCTTCCTATAAATTATGTTAAGAAAAAAAATATTCTTGGCTTGAGAAAGGAAATCAGCGAGGTTTTTTTTACAAAAATGGAGTGTCAGGAAAATTATCCCAACAAATAAAAACGTTATTTAAATGTTTTTTAATATTGGTTATATTACAGTCATAGTCAGAAAGGCGTTCAGAAGTGTCCAGGTGTGAAATAATCCCCGGGTAGGGGGTGACATCCAACAATATTACATAATTGATGCATTGATAAACATCTGCTGAACTTAAAAATATACTTAAATTAGTTTTTAAATGCAGCAATTCCAGAAAATATGTAAAAAACGTTATTTCGTCTCAAATGTCGTCTTCTTTTCAAAGAATTTAAAAACGAATAAACCAATTTCTTTCCCTTGCACAATAAAAATTATGTAAAACTAGGTCGTTTAAAATGTAATTGTGAATATATTTAATATATTTAGATATTTTTAAATTTTATGGTTTAGATTGAACCTTATATCTCACGCCCGGACACTTTATAAGGAGACATTGGAATTAATTGACAGTTAATCAGACGACTTTACATATATATCTCTGCCAATTTAATATCCTCAAATTAAGACAGGCCAAATTTAAGGAAATGGCAGGACTGGGGCTATTTTGAGATGATCGTTTTATCAATCATATATTTGTAAAATTAAAATTTAATGTCGTTTGATTAATTGTAAATTAATTCCAGGTCTTTCTGATTAGGTCTGTACCTGTATAAAATTGAACAAATAAGCTTGTTACATTTTCTAATGGTTGTCAATTTAAACAATGAAAATACATTTTGACAAACAATTTTTTTTTACTTTTTCAACGTCTAAATTCATCAATTTAATTTTTTTGTTGGGAACTTTTTAGAAAGGAGCATTTGTATTTTTAATAGTGTACAGCAGCATTTTATCTGCAATTTTAGTTGTTCTCCTTTTATTTTTCTGCTGCAGGCAAAGGGTAACAATTTTTTCCTTTGTTGATTTACATTTTTGGAAATTTGGAAATTTTAGATTTGTACTTATATTTGTTTAGTTCTCTTCTAAGAAGGCCACGCCAGTTGAAGAAGAGAATGATGCTAAAAAAAACAGAGTTTCTATAAGGAAAAATATTTGTTTTTTAAAAACTTCTAAGATAGAGAAAATTTTTTTGATCAACTAGTTTCTAGATAGAAAAAAAGTTAACAATTATCTAAATTATGAATAAAATTGTCCCCTGTCATTTATTGTAAATAATCTAAATTATGTATAAAATTGTCCCCTGTAATTTATTGCAAATAATCTAAATTATGTATAGAAATATCCCCTGTCATTAATTGCAAATAATCTAAATTATGTATAAAATTGTCCCTTGTCATTTATTGCAAATAATCTAAATTATGCATAAAATTGTCCCGTGTCATTTATTGCAAATAATCTAAATTATGCATAACATTGTCCCCTGTCATTAATTGCAAATAAACTAATCTCAAAATTAAAAAAATCAGAAAAAAAAGCTACAATAATTATTGATAATATGATTGATTGAATACAGATGAACAAAATATTTTCCAGGCCTAAGCTTAAGAAAAAAGTTGATGAATCTCATTTTACTGTTGAATACACAGTAAGTATTAAGTACAGGGTGTCTCACGAAACATGGCAGTTGGTGAAAAGTTTAAAATGTCTTCTACCATAGTTTGTTAAGTTGTTTAAACCCAGAGAGAATGATATACAAATGTTTATGTCAGCCATATTATAGTAAAATTGATTCCAAAGTAAAATATATTTAAGTAAAAGATTTTTAAAGCTAAATAAACTGCAAAAAGTCTGTAATATCTTGTACAGTATATGGAAGTAGACATTCAAAACTATTTACAAACTGTCATATTTCGTGGGACACCCTCTGTATTAATAAAAATATTTTGACTTGAAATATATGCAATTTGTCTTATTCAAGGATGATTATGTTTAACTCTCTATTTTTAAAAATTTCACTGTAGTTTTGTAATGGGCAAATGACCATTTCTATTTATGAAGGAAAAGAGTCTTTGCCACAAACTCAGATTTCTAATACCTATATCGTTGCAATATGGTGTACACCTTTGATATTTCAAACTTAATTATTTGATAAAACAGAATTCATATTTTGAAATATTTAAGGTGTCTCGGTGGCAAAAATATAGGGATTAGAAAATCAGAGTTTGTGAAAAAGACTGAATTTTTTTTCACAAATTTTAAAACTTTTTAAAATAAAATTTCGTGTTCTAGAATGATGGTTATGAAGAGGCTGCTGTAGATGTAGGTTCTGCACCAACTTTAAATAAGTAAGATAAAGGACTTGAGTCTTTGTCACAAACTCAAATTTTCTAATCCTTATATCTTAGAAACTTGATGGTGGAAACCTTTGATATTTCAAACTTAGATTATTTGATCTACCCGAATTCATAGGTTAAAATATCTAAGGTCTACGGCATTGGGTTGCAAGGATATAAGGATTAGAAAATTTGAGTTTGTGGCAATGACTCAAATCCTTTAAGAAAATGTTTAGATGGCTTGTGTAATAGGGTTCCCCAAAATGAATGAACCTATGATGTCGTCAGAGAGTAATTAAGTCGTTACCACAAACCTTAATCTTTGCAACCAAATGTCGTAGACCTTAGATATTTCAAACTAAGAATTCTGTTATTCTGTTATTGGGCAATTAAACTCCATTCCTTTCCTTGATTTAACGATCTAAGGGTAGAATAAATGCAACCTTTTTAAAATGAGAATATATATTTTGAGAAAATTAAATATTTATCTACCCTTTTTTTAGTTTCATTTTTTGAGGGTAACCTTTTATAGAAATGTGATTTTCGAGTCAATTCCCAATTAACTCTTTTTTTACTCAAAACTTTTAGATATAGGAAATATAAGCCCTTAAAGAATTCAAAAAGAAATATTCTACAGAATTTTTATGAGTTTTAAAGTTATAGAAAATACCATAGAGTTATGATCGGGTTAAATATTTAAAGGAACTGTACCCGGGATTTAAAGTTACCCCACGGCCCACATGGAAAGATAGCAATGCCCGATTTACAACGGTACCCTAGAAACATATATTTGATCAACAACGTGGGAGCTTTTGTCCATTTTCTAGGTTTGAAAGTGTTAAATTATAATAATTTCTACATATTTTCCTGCAAAAGAAATGAACAAGTTGCTTGTGTAAAGTTGCCATAATTGAAAACCATGCAGTTTCAAAATGTATAGCATTGGTACATAGACTTACAAAATTCATATTTAACCGGACAAAACTGTTAATGGTACTGTAGTAAATCAGGGATTGCTATTTTTGCATGGAAGGAGGTCATTTGAAATTAAGCTTCATGCATTTGTTCAAAATTACGAATATTTAGTTCAAAATTACGACCATTTTGTTAAAAATTTCTAACAGAATGGCAGTGATTTAAAATTTAAGAGATTTCCATACATTCTTCATAAAATTTGGAAGAAACTTTTTAATTTCGAATTGCTTCGAATTTTTAAATATTAGGAACAAACGGTTTATGAAATTTCATTTTTGTAAAGTTATTTTTAAATTTTAATGATTGTGTTATTTATTAGAAGTGGAGTAGTGCATGATGAAGATGGCATTGAATACAGATCAGCAAATGAAGCATCAGAATCTGGTGATACTATCTTTGAGGCAAGCCATTTTGTATCTATTTAAAAAAAATGTTTTTTTAACTTAATATTTAGGATGTTATTAGCTTGAAATCCCGACAGTCCCATCCTTCAGGAAACAATTGCTTAACAAAACAACTATTTATAGTTTTAAAACTTAAATTTTTAAGCAAACAGATTTATCAGCAACTTGAAATTAATCTTATTGATTGAAGGAGTCTGCGTACATTTCTTATATCATAACTCGAACCTAACAGTCGTCTTCACTCTTCATATTTCACATTTTCATGGATTTGTAGAAGATATCTTATAAAAAATTATAAAAAGGAAAAAAGTAAAAATTATACCTCCCCCCTTCCCTTGTATACTTTCCCGGAAATGACAACAAGAATCATCAAAAACTAATTTTCACACCTTATTTTTAGTTTAAAGTTGACAATTCTTTTTTCAATAAATAGTTTAAGCTATTTCTTATAAGTGTATGGTCTCAGCGTAGATTTTAAGATATAAACTATTGAAAAAGATAACTTTGCAGATTTGGAACTAATATCCCTGGTTATATGATGTTAAAGCTTATTGTTAAATAAACCCATAGTGTCAAATACCGTTGAGCAATATGGAGATGCAATGTCGTCTTCTTCTTCATCATCTTCTTCGTCTTCTTCTCCTTCTCCTAATCTTGTTCAGGAACTTTTCAAAGTTTAGTTTTTAAATAACATTTTTGAAGTTTCATCTACATAAGGGGTTCCTCCCCCCCCCCCTCCTTTCTATTTTGTACATGATTTCAGCAAAATTACTATTATTTATTTTTATTATTTTAGGGTTAGGTTAGGTTAAGAGAATTTCTGGGCCAAACGCGGCGGCAAGGACAGGCTCGGGGTCCGAGCGCTGCGACTTGGACAGGCTAGGGGGCCGAGCGCCGTTGCTAGGACAGGCTAGGGGGCCGGGCGCTGCGGCCAAATGACCAATGATAACCATGTACAAAATTGAAAGGAGGGGGGCCGGGGGGGGGGGGGTCCAAAAATCGTTCTTTAGGAAATTACCTGTACAAGAGCTTAAAGGACTTTTTTATACAAAATTACAGAATCTTTTTAAAGTTTGGTTGAAAAAATGGTAAAATAACTCATTTAATTTTTACATGAGTTCCATTCAGCGTTTTTTTTTACTTTTTCTAAAAACTATGCTTTCTGAAGACATTTTTTTTCAAGCTATATTAAAGTTAACCCCCCCCCCCACTCTTAAACTCAAAGCTAAATATTTTAATTCTAAATTCTTGGAAAAACACACGCAAAAAAGTACAATTTATGCGTCTTAGTTTTGTTTGTTAATCGTAAATGGCATTTTTATACTATAGTTTTACTTCACATTACCTTTTTCCATCAAATATTTTGAAATATAACAGAAGAAAACTGAGTTTTCCCAGCAAGAAATTTCCAGGAACTTGAATGAGTTCAGAGCATCTGTAGGTACAAATTTATCATATCAATAGACAATTTAATTTGCAATTAATGATCTTACCGTCTCAGGACAGTGCAGTAAATAGTTGACATTCTATAACGATCTCAATTTCAGTAAGAATGAGATCGTTTTATAATAAAATTTCCCATAGAAATCATTTAAAATGAAAATAGCGAGGAAAGTAAGTAGGCAATATTCATAAACATTAAAACACCTAAAACACAATAATCGCGTACAAATTTTATTATTTATTCTCAGTAATTTCATGAGATTTTAAGCAGAAAAAACCTAACATTGCTGTTATTATAAAACACATACCTTCATTCCTTTTTATTTTCTGTTCTTTTTTAATTCCCGAACGCTTTTTTTGTTCGTTATTTCAAAATTAACTGTGTTCGCCCTTCGTTAATGGAACCTTACCTAGCCCTACAGCATAGTTTAAAATAAATGTTTTGCTAGAAGGAAAGAAGAGAAAAAGTTCCAGTTCCAGTTCTAGTTCAAAAACCAGCTCAAGCTCAAGGTAAAATTTAAATTTGTCAACAATTTTTTCTAAATATTTCTATATTTTTATGGATTCTATATTTTGTCAAATAAAAAAAAAACCTTATTTTTTAAAGATAGAAAATCCATTTATTTGCTTCAATATCTATTTGTATACCTACTAGTTGAAATAATATATTTTGGCCAGGATTTTTTTATTTTTGAGACTTTTAAACATTGTTTTCATCATTAGCGAAACGAAAAAAGTTGAGAAAAATTATTTCCAGCCCCCTTCAACTAGTTGGTATATAAAAGGTTTTACTTTTTTGCTTGAGCAAATTCCTTCTCAATTTTTTGTTATGTTGTCGCTTTCATCCAGAAAAGCGTTTGCTTGTGACATTAATCCAGATGTTGACTTTTTATGTTGAACTTTTTTATTACATTCTGATTTATCTTGATTTTTTAAAACTAAAATCACAATATCTTTTTCAAAAAATACGCAACTTAATTATTAAAAATTGCAAATTCAGAAGTCTCTAATACTTGAACGTGTTCATACTGGCTCTTCAAAAATGAATATTTTAAGGGTAGCCAAGAAGTATAATATATTTGACTATTAAAATACAAAAAAATCTACTAACATGTAATATTTCAGTAATACTATAGTTAAACCAATTAACATCTTTATCTACTATTCTCAGTAATTCCAAAATGTGCTCTTTATCAATTTTGAAAAATCCGTCCATGGATTTCAATTTATTAAGAATTTATAAAACTGTTCAAATGTTTAATATCTGTGCTAAATTTGGAAGATACAAGAAGGCACTCCAGATTTGAAAAGCTACATGATACAATTTTTGTCATTAAAAAAAAGAATAATCAAAGGCAATTTTTAAGTTTTCTCTCAATGAAAAAGTTAAATTTAGTGCCCCTGTAAGAGCACCCTATTTCCTATTCTAGATCTACGGTAACAAGTATGGGTCAAGAGCTTGAACTGATCCAGGTAACACTGGGACCTGAAGTAGTTCCAAACTATGCAAAACAGCAGATGATTAAGAACAGACTGACAAACTATACTTCACAATTTGTTCCTGCTGTTCTTACAGAATCAAGGTAAACAAAAAAATGTAAAGTATTTTTATACAATGGGATCCATAACATTGAGGAATATTAAAACAAAGCTTAAGCAATGTCATGTCTATTTGATGTTGTTTAAAAGCAACCAGTGTTGCAAGTAGTTTTGACAAATTAACTTAAAAATAGCATATATCATATCATACAGTGATAACCAGAAAACAACGGAATAGAAAGACTACATTATATTATAGCAATACTTAAGCGTTTAGATGTTGTTACAAAGCAAATGTTTTTACTAGTAACTTAGCAAAGCACTTTTTAAGTGAAATGGGTCTATTTACACTGTACAATTGCTGTGTCTAATGTTTATTGAACTAGTTTAAGTCATAAATTGAGTTTAAAAGTCGTCTTCCTATTTCAGAGTTTTCTGGTTATCACTGTATCATAGTTCAGCAAAATTTGTAATGATAGGCCTCAATGTAAAAAGTGGTATTAATTTTTATACTAAAGTTTTTATCAAAAAGTTCTTTTTTATTCTTAACTATAATTTTGATATGTTTCTGAATCAAATTAACTAGCTGTGACCAAAACATGGAGTTAAATTAAAATAAAACAATGCATTTCTTGAATTACAGTGAACCGTATACCAAGAAATGACTTGCTTATAAATGCTTTTCTCAAATATATATTTTATTTTAGAAGTGTACACACCACCAATGATTATGGAGTAGGATCAACACAAGTGCTGTCCTCTGTTGGGACAAATGAACCGGTTCTGAAAGTAGAACAGTACAACTATACATCCTATGATAAACCTGTTTATAAAGTTGAACAATATAAGATCCAAACAGAGGGAACAAAAACCTTCATTCCTTCCTACACCATTGCATCTAACAGGTTTTATTACAAAATCTATATAATAAAACAAAACCAATTGGGCTGAAATTTTTTGTGGACAATTATAAGTGGCCGTGGGGTGTTATAGGCTAAAAAAATCAAAAATTTTTTTTTCAAAATATTTTTTTTTCAGTATTTACTTTCAAAATTTTATTTCAAATTATTTTTTCACTGGCAACACGGGGCTCTTCAGCTAGTACTCAATACTAAGATAATTTAAAAAAGAGGTCCTGGAAATAACAAAGTTTTTTGGAAATTATTTTAGATGTAAATTGTTTCCTTAAATTTATGTGCCTTTTAAATTCCAAATTAAAGGACTTTTTTCCAAAAAGAAAATATACAGAAAATCTTCTTGACTGTTATTATTTAAGATTATCAAAATTAAGATTAACGAAAACAATTATCTTATATTATTCAAGTCTGTATAATGTATTAAATAATAATTAAATAAAAAAGTAGATATGGATTTCTATATAAAATATATGTTTGATGTTTATCTCTAGAGGAATTGAGTCAAGAAGAAAGAGTACTTCTAGTTCAAGTTCTGATACTACAATTTTTGAGGTACTAGAAACTTTAAAAGAAACTGAATACGTGCCTCAAATTTCCGTTTTTAATTCCAATTGTGTATTGTAAACCCATAATTATATTTATTTCAAACTATGAGCTCTATCTTGCCAAATTAATTATTAACTAGACTTAGTTGCAGGATCTCAGGTCATTGAATTAAAAAATTTATTTTAAAAAAATTATGAATAAAAAAGATTAATGTTTCAGGGCGAAGATAATGGATATATTGATAATAACATGCAAGTAGAAGATGAAATAATAGTTGTTGAATACAATTCCTCCAGAGCCTCTTCTGGTAAATATTTTTATCGTAAAATTTACACATGTTGAACGAGGGGTGTATATTTTCCGGAAAAATTACCCCACCCCTCTTTTTGAAAAATAGTTTTTTTAGAAGTAAGTAATGTTTGCATGGGTCTGGAAAAAATTGTTAAAAGATACTTTAGGGGAAAACTGAATTTTAGAAAAGAAAAATATAAAAAGGATGAAATAATTTGGCTTTAGATGTTCAATTTTCAATTTTTTGTCCCCAATTTATCAAAAATCATTCTTAACACTGTACACCCTTGGTTCAAAGTTGACGTCTTAGTGCAATAAAAGTAAATTTTTAGTAAAATGCTTAAATTTCTCTTAAAATTGAAAAATGTTAAATGTTAGAAAAATGAGGATCTGACAAATTATGTTTTTTTTTTCTGGACAAGTTGGAAAATAGTTTCTACGTCACTTTCATAGTTTTTAATTTATAGACTATTAAAAAAAAGATGCCCTTCAGTACTTTCCTCTAATATTATCTTTTATTACTTTTTGGTTTTTATTATCATTTCTAAATTATATACAGGGTGTCCCAAAAAACATGGGAATTCAGTGACGAATTCGATATCGTCTTTTTAACTAATTCTTTGATTTAGTTTAGTGATACCTACTGAGAAAGCTGTAATCTGTAAGACATTCGTCTGCTATGTTCACATTTTGTTTGTTTATGTTTTGACTACATATTGTTGTACTTAGTAAAACAAGAAAATTGCAGTATACAAACAGAGTAAACTTGTCCGTCTTCACTGTTCATCTTGCGGAGACATTATAGACGCATCTTTACAAAATTTTACCCTTTTCATAAAATAAACTCTAGCAGACATAATAATATTATGGCTTTTGAAATTAGGTATTACAATGCTAATTCATAACAAAGACGATATCGAATTCGTCACTGAATTCCCATGTTTTTTGGGACACCCTGTATTGTAAACTATACAAACAATTCATTGTTTGAGTCTTTGATTAGGAATTTACTGTGATAAGAAGTTAAGGTTCTTAAAACGCAATACAAAGCTTACACATTTTATGCTTTAAGACACTTTTTAGGACTTTAGGACACATTATTACTGGGATTAATACTTTTGGGACTCTTTGTGTTTTTTAAGTAACCTTCTTAGTTCCACATTAGCATTTAAAGAAAAATAAATATTTTGCATTTATTTTCCATTAAATTTAACTGTCAGATTTTAGAATTTTTTAAAAGTGTATTTTAGATGTTAATTTTGTTAATTTATAGACAACACATTCTCACATTCTTAAAACTTCCCTTGGGGTAGATTATGCTCGGTTTTCCCATTTTTTGAATTCAAAAAACAAACCAAAAACAGACAAATGGAAAATGTGAATATATTTTTATATTTCTAGTTTCCTCTATTGACCGGCAGCAACTAATACAAAAGGAATCAGCTCGAGAATATTCTCTGCCAAGAAGTTATAAAATCTCCAATCTAACCAGCACTGATCATGAAGATGTTTATAAATCCAGGAAAGTATCTTCATCATCCTCATCATCCTCATCCTCAAGCTCTTCCTCTGCTAAATATGCTGAACAGAAGAATAAAAATGTAAATGAGAATGTTTATGAACCGGTTCAAATGGCAAGAAAAGTGTCAATAATTTCCTCTTCAGCATCTACAGGGAAAATTAGACTTATGATAAACCCCTTGGGATAATAAAAGGGAGATAATTACCCGCTGTTAAATAATGGCATGATTCATTTATGTGGGTACCCATAAAAACTTTGCCGATCAAAATTTAATTAAAAATAGAGTTTTTCTTTTTAAAACTGATTATTCTCAATTGTGGTTTCTCTACAATTAATCAAGCTGTTTAGGTTTCAAGGCTACCAATATGAATTAGGCATCCACATGTTCCGATCTTTTAATTTAAAAGTAAAATGACAGTTCTTTATATGATTAGGATTTAATGGGGGAATGGTCCTAAAAATAATTCATGGAAAAAATTGTTTTATACATTTTTTGAATTTATGGTCAAATTTTGAAACTAAAGACGGAGAGGAAATTAAATATGGAATGGCTACCAGAGTATCCGTATCCTCGCAATCCACCGTGGAAGGTTTTCAGGCTGATGATGTCAGAGATGGAAGGAGGACAGCATTGGGTCAAACAGAAAAAGTGCAGTTTGCAAGACGAAGGTCGTCTTCTTCTTCTTCAGCCTCGTCTTCCTCTTCTAGTTCTACTTCTCCTTCTAAAACTATTGCAGAAGCAAATATTTCCATGCATCATGATCAGGTTTTAAACAGCCTCATAGGCCATTATGCAATCAGAATCAGAAAACAATATAATTATTGTCTTTTTTTCTTTAGAAACTGTCGCATACGACATTTTAATTTACAGTTGATTTTTTTTTTTTTAAAGTTTCCTCAAACTTTTAAAGGATATATCAGTTGATGTAGAAATTGCAAAATTACAAAGTTCTAATCGACATTTTTTGACTTAAAGTAAGAACAAAGCCAATATTTATTTCAAAGTTTTCTGGTTCTCAGTGTACTTCTAAAAATATTGAGAATTAAAAGAATGGGAATAGAATGATATAATAAATAATACAGTGAGAGCCAAAAAATTATGGAATAACTTATTTATGGGATATCTAAGTGTATTTGTTGTTGTTACAATTACAAAGCGAATAGTTTTGTAAATACGTATTAAATCACTTATCAAATGAAATGAGTACGTCTGTTTAAAATTCATAATTATTTTTAAAAAAAATGTTCAATAGCGACACACATGTTAATTCAGTGTCGCACAAATATATATATTCCTGAAAAACAACAACAACAAAAACAGATTTCTAAATCTACAGAAACCGGGTTTTTAATATTCCTAATGCAGAAACAATAAATAGAAAATATAAAGCCTTATTTTCAAATGATGAAAAGTAAATAATGAAGAATAATATCCTAAAAGATAAAAACTAAAAAAAGTAAGAGTACCTATTTATAACACTGTTATTTTGGTTCGCAGTGCTATAAAGTTTTTGGACAGATATTTTGCTTTATCAAGAAGGTTCAAGCCTTTTTATATTTAATTTTGTCCTGAGCTTTAACGATATATAATCTAAAACGGCGATGACCTTCGAGATATAGAGAAAATTTAAGTCCAAATTTAAGTCCACTTAATAGCACGTCGTGCCAAAATAAAAGTGTTATAGGTAATTTAATAAAACGTTTGTGTACTTGTCTTATTTCAATGGCTGTTTCTAGATCAAATAAGCTTTGAAACAAAGCAGAAGTCAAAATATAAAGTTGATTTCAATTTTTTTATTTCAATTGAAAAAATATTTTGGTTCCCGGATTTTCTCGAAAAAAATTTGGATATTTCCAAAAATTTTGGAAATATCCAAACCAATCAAAACTTTATAGCACACGAGCTATAATGTACATCTAATTTAACATTATAGCTCGATGATTACTTTATGCATGGCACGTTCATTATGAAATTTACGATGAAGTGAGTAATAATGATAAAGTACACAATAGTTTCATAAAAGTGTATTTGTGTCTTTAAAGCTTTGTTAAAAAGTTAAGTTTAAATTGCTGAACTCATTTAGATGAATCACACAGGCTCTCTGTCTGAGAAGATATTTGCAGAAATTGGAACTATAAACAGCTCAAAATACTTGATTAACAATCAACCAAACATCAGGTATTTACTTGCACGGTGTACCAATAAACATCTAGGAATAAAAAATTCTTCACAAATACAATATTTATTGGGACACCCTGTTGTGCACAATATAAGTAAGATTGAGTATTAGGTATTTGATGTTGTCGACGTTGGAATATCTTTTTATTTAAATTTTCTACGGATTTTCTATTAATCTTAATGAATTTTCTTATGATATTTCGACGATTTATTCTTTCTTGAATTTATGACAAATAAATGATAGTTTGCTCTTCTTATCAGGAGATGGAGTGACCTTATAGATTATTTATATTAAATTCTGAAACGATGACGTCATAATAAATCAAACAAGTTAGAAAATACTGTCACGTTGCTCAGACAGGAATCTGTATAAGAGTGATTACAAAATCTGGAATACATTTTCAGATAATGATAACTGCGAAATTCCAAAAATCTTTTTAACTCGAAAGTTTTATTTTAACTACAGGTTATTCAAAAAGGATTAATGAGCGTTTAACGACCGACCGAACAAAGGAATTTAGTCTTTGCCACAAATTACAAATCTGTAATCCCAATATCTTTACAAACCTTTGATATTTTCAACTGTGATCATTTGATCTAATAGTTTGAAATGATCTGCACGCGGCGACATTGAGTTGCAAAGATACAGAAATAGGAAAATCAGAGTTTCTAACAAAGACTAAATTTCTTTCTTTCAGTCGGCTCTGAAGTCTAATCGTTTGCAAGTATAATTCTTTGTTTTAATATTTTGATATTTTCAGCAACGAAAAGAGAATTGTTAGAACATCGTCTTCCAGTAACCTCTCCTCTGAAGATGAAGAAACTAAACAGTTTAGGGAGAAACAAAACTAGAAAAATTCGTTCATATGGAGAATCAGAAAACGTCTTTTTTCTGTCTTTTTATCATAAAATGTCACTTGAAGTTCGGGTATTGTAATGTGTATACACTGTACCACTTTTATTTATATAAAATTCTAATTCCAAAATTAATTAAAAGACAGAAGGTAGACGACAAACAGTAGACATTATTCTGTCTATTGCCGTAATATTTGTTATATTTTTACAATCTTCTAGTTTTGCCTTTTTACAGAGAGACCATTCTTAATTTCGACAGAGAAAAAAGCTTAGGAAATTATTCAAATAAAAAATAAAAAAAATGGAAAAATTTAAGTAGTTTAATTATTGTAAAAACTGTTTATAAAACTGAAAAAATTGTTAGCGGAAACCCGGCTTTATCTTGTATTATAATTCATACAGTGAGAATCAGAAAACCGTTGACCTAGCACGTACCTCTGCCCCTTTAGTAAAAGTAAATTCAACCTATATGAAGCATAAAGTCTGACCGCGTCAACCTTGTTGCACCGGCTAGTCCTGTCCATAGGGCTAGATACAGTACAAACTGCGACCGGAAAGGTTAACCCGGCTCCGAAATTCAAATGTACTACGGGACGGCTGCCCGTGCTAGTGTTCTACCTTTTACTTCAGAAGTATTAAATTGTGAATTTTATCAATTGCAATGATTAACTTTTGTATCTCTTAAAAATGTTTAGAGCTCACATATAGAAAAAGTTCCGTAGCAAGTTGCAAAATCCATCTAGGAACCTTTCAATATTTTACAAACGAGACAACGAACATTTCATTGTTTTTAGGTTCTCAGTTGAGACAGTAGTTTGATACTCTTTGATAAAAGTTTCGACCAAAGAATTTTTAGACATAGAAATATTTATTGTAAAATATTTGGTTTAGTCTATCCAAACAAAAATTTGAAAATTTAACCATTTTTAGGCAATTACAGGGGATATGACAACTCTCCTGGATATGCCAGGCCATGCACAAGGTAAATAATTTTCATTCTTTTTGAAAGAATCTATTTAAAATTAAAAAAACAAAGGATTAACTTCAAACGAAAAAAATGAATTGGATCAAAAGTTTGCAGGAAATATAAAAAGAAATGATGATAAAGGGAGAATTAGCTTACCGGCATTAAGGAAAAAAAAAGTAAATTCGGAACTAAATATTTTTAGAAAATAAAGAATGAATTAAAATATTTATAATAATTATATTAAGAAAAAAAGAAAATCAAAAATATATGCAAAAGTTAGAATGAAAAAATAAAAATATATTCACCAATTTCAGAAAATTTAGAAAATATTTTTAAAAAATTATGAAAATTATCCTTATTTAAATAAAATTAATCATGGGGGAAGTTGTTTCATTATTTTCAAAAAATATAACACTAGCCGCAAGCTATGATTTCTATACAACACTCGTTTTTGCAACCAACATTTTGAATTGATTTGCAATAATCTTTCCATGTGTGTTCATAATATCCATCTTACCGCAAGCATTTTAAAATTAAAAACATATTTCTGTTCGAACTTGTGAACAAACTGTCTGTAGTTTCTTCCCACATTTTTTTTCATATTATCAACCTTGACGTAAGATTTTCGAATATTTTGTTCAATAAAACTTACAAAATGTCAGTGTTATTTCTAAAAGTGTTTTTTTCATCTAGAGTTGAAGAGATATCAGAAACCTCCAGCTCATCATCTTCATCATCACAGGAGGATTCAGGAACAGTTAGGTACATCCCACAAAACAGAAACTTGAGTAGGTACATCCCACCAAACAGAAATCCGAGTAGGTACATCCCACTAAACAGGAATCCGAGTAGGTACATTCCACCAAACAGAAATCCGAGTAGGTACATCCCACCAAACAGAAATTCGAGTAGGTACGTCCCACCATACAGAAACGTGAGTAGATACATCCCACTAAACAACAATCCGAGTAGGTACATCCCACCAAACAGAAATCCGAATAGGTACATCCCACCAAACGGTAATCCGAGTAATATATCCCACCAAACAGAAATCCGAGTAGGTACATCCCACCAAACAGAAATCCGAGTAGGTATATCCCACCAAACAGAAACCCGAGTAAGTACATCCCACCATACGGAAACTTGAGTAGATACATCCCACTAAACAGAAATCCGAGTAGGTAGATCCCACCAAACAGAAATCCGAGTAGGTACATCCCACCAAACGGAAATCCGAGTAATATATCCCACCAAACAGAAACCCTTGTAGGTACATCACACCAAACAGAAATCCGAGTAGGTACATCCCACCAAACGGAAATCCGAGTAATATATCCCACCAAACAGAAACCCTTGTAGGTACATCCCTCCAAACAGAAATCCGAGTAGTTACATCCCAATAAAAAGAAATCCGAGTAGGTACATCCCACCAAACAGAAATCCGAGTAGGTACATCCCAGTTAACAGAAATCCGAGTAGGTACATCCCACCAAACATAAATTGGCGTTGGTATCCCACCAAACAGAAACCCGAGTAGGTACATCCCACAAAACAGAAACCCGAGTAGGTACATCCCACCAAATAGAATCCCGAGTAGCTGTACATCCCAGTAAACAAAGACGCGAGTAGGTACATAAAGATCAAACGAGGACAGAGCGATCTAGCTGAGTAGGTACATCCCACCAAATAGAAACCCGAGTAGCAATACGTCCCAGAAAACATCAACTCGAGTTGGTACATCCCAGGAAACATAGACTCGAGTAAGTACGTCCCAGAAAACATAGACTCGAGTAGGTAAATCCCAGGAACATAGACCTGAGTAGCTTCGTCCCAAGAAACATAGACTCGAGTAGGTATATCCAAGCTAACATAGACTCGAGTAGGTACAGCCCAGCAAACAGAAACTCGAGTAGGTATATCCCAGCAAATAGAAACTTGATTATGTACATCCCAGCAAATAAAAACTCGAGTAGGTACATCTCAGCAAATAGAAACTTGAGTATGTACATCCCAGCAAATAGAAACTCGAGTAGGTACATCCCAGCAAACAGAAACTCTAGTTAAAGATATTTTTCTCGAAAAATTTTAAGAGGTATAGGCTGATGCCGAATAAAATTCGAGTTTGATCGCTACTAATTTCAATTCTATCAGTTGCGTATATATTTCATTATGTTAAAAGAGAGTGTTATCGAAAAATTCAAGGGACCATTAGAAATCATCCTATTAATTTGGTTCATCCCTCAAGTCCAGTGGAAGCCAATTATATGGATTTAAATATTTCTCACCACCTTTTATTTCTCTGACGGTCATGCAGTTAAATCAACGCAAAAATTTCAATAAAAAGTAAAAAACAAACAAAAAATAAAAGTAAATAGAAAACATTTTTTGTTATGAAACCCCTTCGCTGTTTAAAATTTATAGACACACATTCAGTTACTTTTTGTTTACATCAATCATAAGTATAAATAGACTAGCTGAAGTTTAACACATCTATTAGCGTCAATTCAACCAGGGTTCTTTCACGTACTCAGGACCAATAGAATTGCAAAGGCGGCAAGATTTATAAATTTATATGTCCATTTAATTCTAATAATCCAATTAAGGATTCATATTTAAATTAGCTGTAACGACTTAATGGAATTCTTTACTTATATCGAAACTATGGTGGCCGATGTTGCCCAGGTTACTCATAGTTACTACCGCCGTTTACCTGCGCTTGGTTTTAAATTATGTTGTTACGCTTCTTATAAAAGTGGACCCACTCAACTTAGCATCTCAAAACCAAGCTAAGAAAATTCCTGTGGTTCTCTAGAGTTCCTTAATCTAAATTTCAGGCAAATCTGTCACAGGGTGCGAGAGTTATGATCGGACATACAAACAAACAAACTAACAGAAATTACTACTATATATATATATATATATAGATGAAGAAAATAAGTAATGTTTTTGTTTAGAAGACACGGTGTAGCAGGAGAACAGCTATCCAATGGTAATGCTAACGGTAGTCCCCAACCTTCATCAGTATTCAGGTTCAGGGTTAACCACAAAGAATAAGCCTATAAATACAACCTTAAAAAACATTTGACGATCCCAAGATTAGATTAAGTTTGCTGTTTATTATGATGATTTAAAAAAATAAAATATTTTTAGAAAACTGAAGCCTGATTACGAATCAGTTCTAGCCTACTGTAATCTTCTTTATTTTTAGAAAACTGAACCCTGATTATGAATCAGTTCTATCCTACTGTAATCTTCTTTATTTTTAGAAAACTGAACCCTGATTATGAATCAGTTTATGAAAGGTAACTTTAAAATTTCATTGAACTTTTAAAATTCGCTAAAAGATTGATTTAAATATTTTAATCAAGGGTTGAGATGGAGAAGAAACTTAATAGAAAAAATGTTTACAGTGAAGCTTAGTTTTCAATACTCATTTTTTTATTTCTGCATATCTTCGCAACCTGATGGTTCAAACATTTGATATTTCGTTTTAGACTGTTTGATGTCACAAAAGTCAAAGTTTGAAATATTAAAATCCACAACATCAGGTTGCAAAAATATGCGATTTATAAAATCAAAGTTTGTGATAAAGATTTCTTTCTAAATGTACTTTAATAAAAATAAAAAATGTAAGCATGTATTAATTTTTATTTTTAAGACTTCAAAAGCCACCTGTTATTTAAATAATTTCTTGTAATAATCTTATATTCTTTCCGTGAAATTAAATTTGTAAAGTTAAAATATATGAAAACTTTGTAAACAGAAAAGACATTCTGTTCTTAATATTTACAGTGTTCATAAATTGCATTAATTCAATTTTTATTTTTTGTAACTTTTTTAAAACTCTATTTTGTACATAAATTAATTTTAAGTTTGATAATCTCTATTCTTTTATTAAAAAAAGAAGATAATTAATCATAGAAAGATGTAATTTCTGTTTTCTTATCGTAAAGTTTATTTTAGTTGTATTTCCTATGAATGAGTGAATTGAATGATTGTATATGATTCAAACTGATTTAACATTACGATCCTCATCCCAGCAAGCTATCACTTTCAATCACAATTTAACCAATCTAACATAAATTTTACTAATATTTGAAATTTTATGTCGGCGGCTGCTTTTAAATGAAAAAATGTAACAAAATTATTACGTTTAAAAATTTCCTGAAATATAAAACAAAATGATTGCATTCAAATTAAACCGAAGACATCTCACCCGTTTATTGCAGACCGGATTACCAATTATAATGCAAGTTCAGTTATTTAGTTCCCTGTACATATTTTACATTTTTAATAACGTTTTTGATGTGTTTTGTTATTGATTTCCGTGTGAAATAAAATAAATTTTATAAAAATGTTTAGACGATATCCTTATTGGTTTGTCGTATATATAATAACTAAAATAATCATCTTGATATCTTTACAACATTTCAAAATATCAATCCAGCTAAATCTAAAAGTAAAAGTGTGAATATTAAAAGTTTAGATTTGTTTGTTGTTCTTAAGAATTCTTACTTAAAGGAACTGCGGAACTAGTTTGTAGCGACCATAGCTCCATTTATAAAGTTGCTTTTCTTTTTTACAGCGGTCCGGTACTATATTTAAATGTCTCTGCAGTAGCTATTCCAAAGCAATCATAATTGAAAATAATCAATTTTCCGTGTAAACAATAAGAATTTCTCATTCATCCTTGATCAGGCCAAGGAGTATGTAATCGAACATGTTAATTGAAATATCAAATATAGTAAATATATAGAAATATCAAATATATTGAATATATTGAAATTACATCGTGATCCTGTAGATAGTCTGAAAATGAGTCTATATGATCCTGACTTCAATTTTATGTTTAAATATGGAATCCTCGTATTAAAATTCAGCTTCGGATTATAATTTGATAAACATAAAATGTTTCCACTCCATAAACTAGTCTTGGAAAATAAAATCTTTTAATGCATCAAAGGGAAACAACATTTACTGCGAACAAAACATATTTTTTTTCATTTTTATTTTACACTTCAAAAAACAACGATTACCATTTTTTGGTGATTTTTCTAATTGTATAACAGTTCGGCTTATTTTCCTGTTTAGAATTTTAAACCTTCATATTTGAAATATTATTATTCCACAATATTTCTAATAATTTTAAACATTAAAAAATCTTGTCTTTATCTAAAATGTTTTCCATTAAGAACTGCTTTCTCTCTTCTTTAACCTGTTCCAGAATACGAAAGTATTCCATTTCAGCCTTTTTTACAGGACAACCAGCCCTAAAAACAATTTTACAGCACTAAAACTTTAAAAACTTAAACACTTTAAACTACATTTATTGGACACATTACACATTACTGGAGGGACACTTTAAACTACATTTATCGGACATATTACACTTTACTGGAGGGACACTTTAAAACTACATTTATCGGACATATCACACTTTACTGGAGGGACACTTTAAACTACATTTATCGGACATATCACACGTTACTGGAGGAAAACTTTAAACTACATTTATCGGACATATCACACTTCACTGGAGGGACACTTTAAACTACATTTATCGGACATATTACACTTCACTGGAGGGACACTTTAAACTACATTTATCGGACATATCACACTTTACTGGAGGGACACTTTAAACTACATTTATCGGACATATCACACTTCACTGGAGGGACACTTTAAACTACATTTATCGGACATATTACACTTCACTGGAGGGACACTTTAAACTACATTTATCGGACATATCGCACTTCACTGAAAGGACATTTTAAACTACATTTATTGGACATTTCACACTTTAAACTACATTTATTGGACATTTCACACTTTAAACTACATTTATTGGACATTTCACACTTTAAACTACATTTATATTAATCTAAATTGCCTTTAATGCTACGTTGCTAAAATGAGACTTAAGAAATAAAACATACAAACCTATTTTTTTAAATTCAAATCTTTATACATAATATTTTTTATTTAAAACATTTGAAAAATTACCGTTTACGTTTTTCCTCCTCCTCTTGTTTTTGAAAATGTCGAGCTTTAGCATAAATCTTCTTTTGGGATTCTTCGACCTTTGTTTTACGAGCATTTCTTATTCAATATTATTTTATGATAGTAAAATGAAGATTTCTTATTCAATATTATTTTATGATAGTAAAATGAAGATTTCTTATTTAATATTTTTTTATGATAGTAAAATCAAGATTTCTTATTCAATATTTTCTTATGATAGTAAAATGAAGATTTCTTATTCAATATTTTTTTATATAAGTAAAATGAAGATTTCTTATTCAATATTTTTTATGATATAGTAAAACGAAGATTTCTTATTCTTTATTTTTTTTTTGTAAGTAAAATGAAGATTTATTATTCAAGTTTATGTAGTTGATCAGAAAACATGATTTTTAACACTTTTTATGAAAACAAAACATTTAAATTTTACCTTCAGCGCTTTTTTACGGTTTACCAAAATTCTTTCTCTTCTTGTTTCCCTTAAAAATCATATTTTCAATCATTCAACGTTTGAAGTTTTTAATCATGATATATTTGTTTGTCCGATTATAACTCATGAACCCCTAACATCTGATATTTGCCATTTTTCGCGAACACTCCCTTGAAGTTAAGTGGATTTAATTCTAAGAGAAAAAATAGCTAAAATTGTAATTTACGACAAAGCGCGGGTAAACAATGGGACTGACTATTAATATTGGCAACAATACGTTCCAAAGCATAGTAATTAGATAAACTACCTATCAAACATCTCCATAGTGTTAGATCTCTCCAGCCTGTTTGCAGTTAGTAACCTAGATTTAGATGAGTTAATACGTGCTTCAAATAAGATATTCACAATTTGGGGGAAATTATGACTAAGAATATATATATATATATATATATATATATATATATATATATATAGATTCTTACTTTTTCTTACTCATATATTTGAACCATTATACTGTCTGTATATACTGTGAATGTAATAAAATAGTTTTGTCTGAATAGGAATTAATCAGATATCCATGTTTACAAGTTTGACAAATGATTAATTTCAGTTGTGGGTTCTCTACAAAAGTGACTTGCGCATTTCCGCTGCAGAAAAATAGTTTAGGAATTATCAGAAGTAAACACTATTAAGTCAAGAAAATGACATTATCTTCGAGAATATTTAATAAAAAGTAACCTTGGATCCATTTTTAGAATTGAAGTTGACCCATCTCCTGCTCCAACACAAAGCAAAGATCCCTTCTCATTTGCCTATAATCGTGGATCGAATTTAATCCTTTTAAAATCATGAGTTTTTAAGCGTAATCTTAATTTCTTGTAACCCTCCAAGCAAAGATAACAATGCCCTATTTACCATGGTATTGGTAACCTTAAATCTTTGTCAGCTCAAGAATGAATTAGATAAAAAATTATAATTTTGTTAACTGGTCATTTTAAACTCTGGTTTCTCTACAATAAAGTGACTTGTGCATTTCTACATATAGGTTTTATCATAATTAAACCTTAAATAAACCTTATAAACATTATTGATCAGATAAAGGTTTCAAGAGTACCATTGTGAATCGGGCATTGGCATATTTGCAAAAAAGATCACTAGAAATTACGCTTACTGTCCCTTCAACCCTGTTTAAACGATAGATAGACAAATCAGTAATGTTCTTTTAAAAGTTCATTGAACCCTCCACCTCAAACGAATGTCTATCCCGTTCTAACCTAAATCTGAATTAGTAATAATAATTGTTAATAATTTTTTATCAAAAGGAAATCGGAAAGAACAAAATACAAATCACGTAGTTTTGTTAGAGCAAACAAGATGTGCCAAACAATATCATTCGACCAAACACCAAAAAGCTTTTAACCTTAAAAAGGCTGGGGGGTCTTAATCTATGTATAGCCTGGGGGGGCGCCCTTAAAAAAGGCCTTAGAGGATAGGTGTAGGGTTGAAATGCATGTTCATAGCCCAATTTTTCATGGCCAGCTCAGAGAAAAAAATAGACCGTTAGCTTTAATAGTTTGGGTGCTATAGAGGGTGGAAAAAATGCCTAAAAAAGGGTCAAATAAATGAAAAAATATTTTTTTTGTTTTAAACAAATATCAAAATGTGACACAAGTTTCTACATGCATTTTTCAAAGATTTTTCAAAAAAATAGTTTTTAGATCTGTAGCTTTAGTCACAGAAAAGTTATGGGCTATTTTAGATTTTTTTTTCACAGACCTGACTATTTTCCGTCCTCTACCCTACCCTAAAAATAATAATTTTTAACAAAAAATCCTTTAAATTACTTTTCAAAAAAACAAAGAAAACTAATATATTAATTTATATATTTACGTTTTATTTGTAATTATTTAGAAAAATTTGTAGATTATGTTCAGCTAAAGTAAATTGTTTACAATAGATTACATGTTTTCAATCATAACTGCTCTTCTTGAAGAATAATTTGCTTTTATATTACTTGACCTTAGAATAATAAATATAGGAGATAAGAGGTCGTAATGTCGTACAGGTAATTTCGCATACTTTTCTGTATAGTTTGCAGTGATAGTGACTAATACACAAATAGTTTAATTTGTAATTATTCAGATATATTTGTCGACAATTTCTATCTATCTATCTATCTATCTATCTATCTATCTATCTATCTATCTATCTATCTATCTATCTATCTATCTATCTTCACCTTGAGCGTATATAAGGGAAAATCAGCAACTTTAACAGGCAGAACAGGGAGACGTTGCTCGAACAGAAAATCCCACACCTCAAGCACTCCATCCACACGTATTGTGTAAAATACTAAATAGTAAATCCATCAAACAAAAATCAAAACCATCAAACATGAAACTAAAATTCTAATCTAAATCTCGAATTGCAACTTAATGGTGTAAACCTTTGAATACTTATAATTTTTAGCTGAGTGTTAAATGTCAACCACATAACGAAGGTTCACCGCGGACTAACCAAGGCTAGATGCATTTAGTTTCTCCTATATTGAAATTCAATCTCTCTTGTTTGCCGAGTCAATTAGCACCTGATCCAATCAGGGTTCAGTCATGTGTTTGTTGTCTATTCTGAACCAATAGAAATAGTATGGCGCGCTGTAACATCTATATCTTTCTATCCATTATCCAATCATTATCCAATTAGAGAAATGAATACTTCAATCGGCGCTATCAGTAAATGGAAATATTTTCTTTTACTGAAACTATATGTCACGTGTATGTCTATAATTCAATAATATTTAAACATATTGAGTTTTCTTTTTTTACAGTTGTGACCAGAAAACTCTGATATAGGAAGACGACTTTTTGCATTAAGTTATATCTTTTAAGAGTCTAGTGAGCATAAGACACATCAGTTGTGCAGTGTATACAGACCCACTTTACTAAATTAATGATTTGATAAGTGTTTAGTATAACTATTTGTGTTGTAACAGCATCAATAGAGTTTTTCAATAATGTTTTCTTCTAATTTCATTGTTTCTGCACTGCACTGTACTTTTATTTAACCCTATTCCTGCTGGGGGGGAGCCTGTTTAGGGTTCAGATGGAACAAGTTGTTATGCCCTTTTTTGCTAAATTTCATACTTTCAACAAAGTTTTTAGAAACAAGAAAATAAACTATAATCAGAATCCAGTTATATTGTCATAAGCAATCATTGTACTTTCCAAAACTTTGCAGGGAGAAGTATATTTCAACTAAAGGGACTCCAGGGAGGAGTATATTTCAACTAAAGGGTCTCCAGGGAGGAGTATATTTCAACTAAAGGGACTCTAGGGAGGAGTATATTTCAACTAAAGGGACTCCAGGGAGGAGTATATTTTAACTAAAGGGACTCCAGGTAGGAGTATATTTCAACTAATGGGACTCCAGGGAGGAGTATATTTCAACTAAAGGACTCCAGGGAGGAGTATACTTCAACAAAAGGGCTTCCAGGGAGGAGTATATATATATTTCAACTAAAGGGACTCCAGTTAGGAGTATATTTCAACTAAAGGGACTCCAGGGAGGAGTATATTTCAACTAAAGGGACTCTAGGGAGGAGTATATTTCAACTAAAGGGACTCCAGGGAGGAGTATACTTCAACTAAAGGGACTCCAGGGAGGAGTATAACTCAGCTAAAGGGACTCCAGGAAGGAGTATAATTCAGCTAACGAGACTCCAGACGTTAATTCAAAGACCCTCCCTGAAGAGTAGTATATCCTTTAAACCTCTATCCGAGGAAGATATAATCTCAATTGTGTACGTTGTATATATTTTGACAATTTCCTTCTGTGCAGTCCACTGCATGAATGCGCAATTAACATTTGTAGAAAAACAATAAATTATAATATTATTTTTCATTGATCCTTGATTAGACAAAGGTTACCATTGTGAAGCAGAAATGCGCATTGCTCATCTATTGAAACACTAATTGCAAACATACATTCTAAATATTAAAACAAATGAAACTGTATTAACCCTGCTAGATATATATATATA